TGTGGTGGCCGGGAGTGTGCCACTGCACTCCAGCCTGGGTGACAGAGTGAGACTCCAACTCAAAAAAAAAAAAAAAATAGAAATATCTATTGAGGACTAATTAAATAATACTCTTTGTATAGGCAATAATTTATCTCCTCTAACATACATTGATGAACATAGATGTTAAAATTCTCAACAAGATCCTGGCAAACCATATTCAACAACACATCTCAAAAATCATCCACCATGACCAAGTAGGCTTCATACCTGGGACACAAGGCTGGTTCAACATTTGTAAAACCATAAATGTAATTAAATACATCAACAGATGTCAAAACAAAAACCACATAATTATATCATTAGATGCAGAAAAAGCTTTGGATAAAATCCAGTACCCCTTCTTGATAAAAACCCTCGAACATCTAGGCATACTGGGAACATACCTCAAAACAGTAAAAGCCATCTACAAGGAACCTACAGCCAGCATACTCCTAAATGGACAAAAATTGGAGCCATTTCCCTTGAAAACTGGAACAAGACAAGGATACCCACTCTTACCCTTCCTGTTCAATATAGTATTAGAAGTCCTGGCTCAAGCAATCAGAGAAGAGAAGGCAATCAGGGGTATTCAAATAGGAAAAGAGGAAGTCAAGTTATCTCTCTTTGCAGATGACATGATTGTGTACCTTGAAAACCCAAGAGAATCTGTCAAAAACCTCCTTACACTGATAAAGGCTTTGGCAAAGTCTCAGGGTATAAAATAAATGCGCAAAAGAAAATAGCATTTCTTTACACCAATAATAAACAAACAGAAACCCAAATAAAAAGCACAATTCCATTCACAATAGCCACACACACACACACACACACACACACAAATGAAATACCTTGGCATCTTCCTAACCAGAAACATGAAAGACCTTTGCAATGAAAACTACAAAACACTGCTCAAAGAAATCAAAGATGACACAAACAAGTGGAAAAATATCCCATGCTCATGGATTGGAAAATCAACATTGTGAAGATGTCCATCCTACCTAAGGCAATATACAGATTTAATGCAATACCAGCAACATTCTTCTCAGACCTAGAAAAAACAATACAGGAATTCATATGAAAACACAAATGACCAAGAATAGCCAGAACAATCCTCAGCAAAAAAAAAACAAAGCAGGAGGTATCACATTACCAGACTTCAAACTTTACTATAAAGCTACAATAATCAAAACAACTTGGTATTGGTACAGGAACAGGTATATAGACCAATGGAATACAATTGAGATTCCAGAAGCAAAACCTCAATTTCTCAACCAACTCATCTTCGACAAAGTCTCCACCACCTACCACTGGGGAGAGGAGAACCTACTCAGTAAATGGTGCTGGGAAAACTGGCTGACCACAAGCAGAAGACTCAAACAAGATCCCTATCTATCCCCATATACAAAAATTAACTCTAAATGGATCAGAGACCTAAATGTAAAACCTCAAACCATAAGAACCTTAGAAAATACAAGACACACCCTTATGGAACTTGGAACTGGCGTCCAATTCCTGAGCAATACCCAAAATGCATGGGCCATAAGAGATATGACAGACAAGTGGGACCTCATGAAACTGGCAGGCTTCTGCAAAGCCAAAGAAACCATCAAGAGAGCAAGGTGACTGCCCACAGAGTGAGAAAATGTATTTTCCAACTCCAGGTCTGACAAAGGCCTAACATCTTGGATCTACAAGGAACTCAAACGTGTGAGAAGAAAAAAAAAAAAAAAACCATTATAAAGTGGGCAAAAGATATGAACAGACACTTCTCAAAGGAAGTCACCCAAGCGGCCAACAGACACATGAAGAAATGCTCACCCTCACTAATCATCAAGGAGATGCAAATCAAAACTACACTTAGATATCACCTAACTCCAGTCAGAATGACCATTATCAATAACTCAAAAAATAACAGATGCTAGAGAGGATGTGGTGAATGGGAACACTTTTACATTGTCGGTGGGAGTGTAAACTAATGCAATCTCTGTGGAAAGCAGTGTGGCAATTCCTAAAAGCTCTAAATATCGACCTCCCATATGACCCCACAATCCCCCTACTGGGAATATACCCTGAAGAGCTCAAATCACTCTATCAAAAAAATACCTACACACGTATGTTTATCACAGCATTGTTCACAATAGCAAGGACCTGGAACCAACCATGCTTTTCATCAAAAGTGAACCGGATTAAAAAAATGTGGTACATATACATGATGAAATACTACGCAGCCATAAAAAATAACAAAATCATGAATTTCACCGCAACCTGGATGGAACTAGAGTCTATAATACTGAGTGATCTCTCAAAGAAACAAAGATCTGAGTATCACGTGTTCTCACTCATATAGTCACCTTGAACATCTATCATAATACTTTAAGAAAAGGACTGACAGTTGTGGGAAACTATGGGGCGGGTAGGGAGAGGAAGGGAGGTGGGACTAACGGTAGTGAATATCTGTCTGGGGACGGGGAGATACCCCTTATCAACAAGGGTGTCTGAAAGATACATATTTGTAAACCTAACTCTTAACTATACCCCCCAATTTTATAATAATTTTTTTTTAAAAAGATACATGTAACAAGTTCTGTAGGCTTACTCAGCAGAGTGGATATTTTAATGTTAATATGACATACTGCTTCTTCTACGTATGTGAAGTCAAAGTAAGAACACTGAATTTTTAAATTTATTTTTCTCTTTCTGTGAATGTAAAGAAAGATAATAAAACTGAATAAAAATGATTACAAGTATTGCAGGACATCGTTCAGGCATAACTTATTTTATTGCACTTCTCTTTATTTCACTTTGTAGCTATTACTTTTTTTATGAATTGATGGTTTTTAGCCTTCCTGTGTTGGGCAGTTCTTTCTGCACCATTTTTCTATCAGCAGGTGCTCACTTTGTGTCTCTGTGTGACATCTTGTTAATTCTAACAATATTTCAAAATTGTTCATTATTCTTATAACTGTTATGATGATCTGTGGTCAATGGTCTTTGACGTTACTCTTGTAATGGTTTTGGGCACCATGAACCTTGCCCATATGAGAAAACAAACTTAATTGATAAGTGGTTTGTATGTTCTGGCTGCTCCACTGACCGTTTTCCATTTTTCTCCCTCCCCTTGGACCTACATATTCCCCAAGACACAGAATACTGCAATTAAGCCAATAACTTCAAAGTATTCAAGTGGAAGGGAGGGTCTCAGGTATATCACTTTAAATAAAAATCTAGTAATGTCAAAAAGCCTAGCTAAATTGAAAGCTAAGACTCTTTTTCCAAACAGTTAAATTGTGAGTGCCAAGAGAAAGTTCTTGAAGGAAATTAGAAGCGCTACTCTAGCAAACCCCAAAATGATAAGAAAGCAAAACAGCCATACTGCTGGAAAGAAGAAAGTTTTAATGGTTTGGATAGATCAAACTGGTCACAATATTCTCTCTAGCCAAAGCCTAATCCAGAGTAAGCAGAGCAAGGCCCTGATTCTCTTCAATTCTGTGAAGGCTAAGAAAAGTTAAGAAGCTGCAAAAGGGAAGTTGGAAGCTAATAGACGTTGGTTCATGAAGTTTAAGAACAAAAGCTATCCCCATAACATAAATGTACAATGTGAAGCAGCAAGTGCTGATATAGAACCTGTAGCACATTGTCCAGAAGATCTAGCTAAGACAATTGATGAAGGTGGAGTAAACAGCTTTTAGTTGGAAAAAAATACCATCTAGGATTCTCATAACTAGAGAGAAGTCAAGGACTGGCTTCAAAGCTTCAAAGGACAAGGTGACCCCCTTGTTAAAGGCTAAAATGAGTGAATGTAATTAAAGCCAATGTTCATTTACCATTTCAAAAATCCTAGCGCCCTATGCTTGTGCTCTATAAATGTAACAACAAAGCCTGGATGATAGGACATGTGTTTGCAGTATGGTTTACTCAATATTTTAAGACCATTGTTGGGACCTACTGCTCAGAAAAATATACTTCTTTCAAAACACTACTGATCATTGACAACGCACCTAGTTACCCAAGAGCTCTGATAGAGAGGTACATAAATATTAATGCTGTTATTATGCCTACTAACACAATATGCATTTTACAATCCATGGATCAAGGAGTAATTTCAGCCTTATGGCCTTATTATTAGAAATATGTTTCATAAAACTATAGCTGCCAGAGAATTATTCCTCTGATGGATCTGGGCAAAGTAAATTGAAAATTTTCTGGAAAAGATTCACCTTTCTAGCTGTCATTAAGAATATCTGTAACTCTTGGGAAGAGGTCAAAATATCAACATTAACAGGAGTTTGGAAGAAATTGATTCCAACCCTCATTTCAAGGGTTT